TTCAGGCAATTCTCCTGCCTCAGCCTCCTGAGTAGCTGGGATTACAGGCACGCACCACCATGCCCAGCTAATTTTTTGTATTTTTAGTAGAGACGAGGTTTCACCATGTTGACCAGGATGGTCTCGATCTCTTGACCTCGTGATCCACCCGCCTTGGCCTCCCAACGTGCTGGGATTACAGGCTTGAGCCACCGCGCCCGGCCCGGCATTTTCACAGTTGGTACCATTAGTAATGGCAGCATTAGTGAAGTTTAAGTGACTTCCCAGGGAAAGCATATCATATTTGGAGGTCCGAATGAGAAAAGAAGTATCTTATGCCATCCAGAGACCATAGCTGCTAGATGATATGAGCACAATGGAAACCATGACCTGGACAGGAAGTGCCAATGTGAACAGTTACAGGCTTAAGTCTGTGAGATTTGAATTATCATCTTAAGGTATTGACTTGGAAAAAGTCAGAATACTAATAAATAGATGTTATTGTGTCACAAAATTGGGAGCATTAACAGTACAAAATATAAAATTTTAACTATAGGCAAAGTATTTAAAAAATAACAAAAATCAAGATTTAGAAATGTTCATGGATTACCCAGTATAGTATATCCACTGAAAACCACTGTTTTAGAACATACAAATTTGGGAAGATGGGTGATTTTTGCCAACTTTTTTTCCTTCAAGTCTAAGAACTGTTTTGATACCTACATATAAGATTCCTACAAGGAATACAAGACATGAAAGTATAGTTCATAAATGGTGTTGAAAAACTGTGAACCATTATATAAATGCTAACATTGTATAAAGCTCCATGATGCAGCTTGAAAGCAAAATTAAGGAAAAAAGAAGAACAAGATCATTCCTGCCTCCCACTGGGTACATTTGTGGGGCATGAGTAGGAGAAGTAAGTCCAGCAACTAGAACTCACTTTATTTCCTGAACATATAGCATAGTTTTTTTTTATTTTCTTACAGGCAGCCTCAATAATAAAGTGAATCATTAGGATTTGTAGCCTTACCACAAGAAATTATAGTAGACCTATCCATTAAATCAAGACAGAAAGATCAAAGAAAACAGTACATAGAGCATAACCTCACCAGAACTACACTAGTCTTCTTCTCGTTCTTCCTGTTCCCACTTGCCCTGCTCCTCAATCTTTTCTCCATATAACACTTGAAGTAATCTTTATAAAACACAAGTCCTTTCTGCCACTCCCGTGGTTAAAGACTGTTAGTGGCCTAGCATTATCTTGGGACAGGATTCGTTGACTATAGCAAGACCTAAGAAATCCTGCTAAGCCTGTCTTCCTCTCCAGTTTCATCTTAGGCCACTCTTCCTCTCCATCATGAAGCTCCTAACCACATATTTCTCCCACTCTGTTTGCATGAAACTCATTCCTGAATTCAGGCATTTTAATGTGTGGTTCCCTCTACCAGAATTCTCATCTGTTAGCTTTACCTTCCTTGCCTGGATAACTCCTTGCCTTTCATATTTCTGCTTAAGTATAATGTCATCCGGAAGGTCTGTAATGACCACCCTCCCAACCCCTAGACTAAGTGATAGCATCCTCTACTCTGTGTTTTTGTGATCAAATAGCCCATGAATGACTGCTTTGCAATTTGCAACCAGCTTCTTTCTTAGGATGTGAAGTGCACCTGTGCCCCACTCAACTCACATCACCTTGGACATCTTCGCCTGAAATTCGTAAGTGATGCTTCCTATCCATGACCTTTCAGGACTAAACTTGAGAGTCCTCACAGAAATGTGGATTCATTCTATGTGAGCGGCTGGACATAATCATATGTACACTGTCTTATGCTGAACACAGGGAGTGAATCTGTGAGGTGTTTCAATATTACTTGTGTTAATAAATATTATATCACTCTTTTCTCTGCCTTATTTTGTGACCATGTCTCCCGGTGACTTTTCCAGGGCCTCCTGCCCTATCTCATTGTGGAACTGCTTCCTCTATGGCTTCATCCTTTAATATCTGTCAGAGGTCCTCTCCCAAATCCCTGGACTTTCTCTCAGCTTTGATCTAAGAATTTGCCTAATCTCCAAAACTCCCTTCAGAAGTGTTTTCCTTTCCCCTTTGTGTCCTCTATTTCTTAGCAGACATTTGTCTCAGGTCCCCACTTCTCCCTCTTCCCAATTTTACATTTCTTGAAGGTCTTTTCATTCTTCTGGTATGAATCTCTTGCCCTATCCCTCTTGCACCCCTCCCTCCCTTAGTTTCTGTTGCTGAGCCTTGTTGGGAGGCCACCTGTGCTCAACACAAATATATGTGTTCTCCTACATTTCCCAGACTCCCTAGCAGGTGGACTGTGGCAATGAGATTAGTTCCAGACGAGGACTGAGGAGGAGGAGTGCATGCTACTTCTGGGTAAGGTAGTGAAGGGCTGATGTGCTCCCTCTCTTGCTCTCTCCCTCTTGCTCTTGGTCGTTTAGTTCCAGATCCAGACCTAGCTATCTTCTCCAGCCCCAGCCCCTGAAACCCAGGAGCCCAAGGATTCCAGATTGCAATACCTGCAAGATGGAAAATGGCAGAACCACATAGGATGTCAAAAAATAAATCTACACTGTTAAGTCCATGAGATTTTTGTGGGTTTCTGTTGCATCCAAAATTATTAATTCCACTGGGCAGAATGAAGCTTCTCCTTTTTGACCCTGAAAAACTATGAGAAAGCTTTGTTCGTCTGAACTCTCGCTGTCCCATTTTCTCAAAAGGAACCACCTTCCCCTACTCACTTCTTGGTATATCTTCTATTCACCCTAAAGTATTCTCTTTATTTTCCTTTATTTTTCACTTGTACCTTCATTATAGCTGTATAGTTGATGATCTTAGAGGAGAGTCCTTCTCCCATGTAGTCTTGACCAGATTCTCTAGGAAAAAAAAAAAGGAAAGGTCTACATATCTACATGCTAATACTTTATTGGGAGGAGCAATCTCTGAGCAGCAAGATTAAGGAAAAGGGAAGTGAAGCATAAAGGTAGCAAATCAATTGCAAGGTGCCAAGTTGCTAAGCTGGCCTTCACAAAAAAATCAAAGCCAGTTTCCAGTCATGTAAGAAATCTCTAAAAGGGCTCTATGGAACCATTGTGTGCAAACTGAAGGGAGGACATAAAATTCATCTGCTAGGTGGTGTCCATCTCCTTTCTCTCACTGGTCAGTTTGCCCCATGTTTTCAGATTGTGTAAACTGACTACCCCAGGAAGTCTCAGGGAAAGCCATTTCTCATGCCTCAAAGTTGGCTTCTCTTTACACGAGCCCAGAATTAGGAAAGGCACCATATCTCCTATGGGCCTGATCAGTTCAACTGAGGCACCAAAGCCTACATTGTCTTTGCATGGAAGAGACCGTGCTGGAGCCTGGTTCTCACTGTGGGAGTAGGTAAGTAGTTTGTGGTTCCAGGAGACAAGGCAAGAACAGGAGTCATGGTAAGGGATCTCTATCTAACAGTTAGTCCAGCACAGGGCTGAGCAGATTTGGGGAGGAAAATAGACTGGGTCTTCCACAAATAGCGAAGTTTTTGTTCATGGTTAATGTGTTAGATACTTTTTCAACTATTTATTGGTCTCTAAATGTACAGTATGCCAAAATCTCAGGAAGCTGCAGAGGACTGTTATATGAGCTTCCCTGCCCGTTTACAGTGGCAAACCCCTCACTGTACACAGAAATCCAAATACCAATGGACAGAAAAATGAAGCGGAAAAATTATAAATGGTCAGCGCAAAAAAAAATAGGCCACCATGTAGTAAACCCCTTTCAAATGTGTTTATTCCAGATGTCCATTCATACTTTACTAGAAGCAAAACATAAGTGCCTCAAAGGCAGCTGAAAAAGCTCTTCTCAAAATCTGCATCCTCAGTGAAAGGCAATTCAGCAGTCATTTGCAGAAATACAAAATCTCCAGGGCAAATACAGGATCATTTCAATTACTTCCTAGAACTGGCTAACAGTTATCTACACCTGAAACATGACATTTCATTCAAAACTATCGGGGACCATGAGTGTAGAGGAGCAGGAGAGAACCAGCCAAAGACTCAGGAAGCCCCAGAGACTAAGGAAACTCACAATTATGCCAGCCTCTCCAGCTCCACAGCTGAAATGCCCGTAATGACAGTGTATTTTTAAACATCTCTGCCCAGGCGGCAGAGACAGACAGAGGAAAGGACAATTAGCTCAAGCAATTCATTCAGCTGCCACTGTGGCCCATGACACGTGTTTCTCTGCGGACCAGCAACTGTGAATTGAGGGAGACATGGGTTTGCTGCTCAGACTCCTGATTTAAAAATAGAAGAAAAGTCCTCGGCCCCTGCTGGCCTCTCACTCTCACCCAGCAGGATGGTGATTAGCAGTGCTTTCACCATTTGCGCCATTCCTTTTTAATATCCTTATTGGCCATTTTCTATATTCGTGTTTGGAACCTGGCTATGAGGTCACGTTTGTGTAGAGTCCATGCCCTGATGCAAGGTCTGCAGGCTTCATGAGCTCGAGGCTGTATGGAGTGCATGGTGTGTTTTTAACTGTGAAAGGCATCTAGTGACATGAGATATAGCAGACAGAAGTTGTTATCAGTTTGGGTTAGGCGGTATTCCACTCCATCTTCAAGAACTCAGATACATAAGTTGTATGTGTACTTGGGACATTTTCTGACGCCATAAAGGAAAAAAAAAAAAAACATGCAATTGGTCTGTGCCAATGTTGAGCTGAAGAAACAGATGCTGAGGTCTGTGAAGTCTTTCGTCTTCCGAGAGTGATGATCCAAAAATCAATTGAAACTAGAAAAAGGTCACCACTCAATTTCAGGATAAATTTGTTTGTCATAAAATAGATAAATATGGTGAAAGAAGCTATGTTACTGATGTAGTTTGACTAAGTCTGTACCAAAATCTCACCTTGAATTGTAGTTTCCACAATACTCAAGTGTTGTGGGAGGAACCCGAGAGGAAGTAATTTAATTACAGGGGCGGTTACCCTCATGTTGTCCTCCTGATGGTGAGTGAGTTCTGAGATCTGATGGTTTTATAAGGGACTTTTCCCACTTTTGCTCTGCACTTCTCCTTGCTGCCACATGAAGAAGGACATGTTTGCTTCCACTTCTGCCATGATTGTAAGTTTCCTGAGCCCCACCACCCCCTGCAGCCATGCTGAACTGTGAGTCAATGAAACCTCTTTTCTTTATAAATTACTCAGTCTCAAGTATGACTTTATTAGCAGTGTGAGAATGGACTAATACAGTTATCTTGGACAACTTGCTCAATATCTGTGTAACTGAGTTCTGTATAAAATGTGTATAATAACGTGTACCTCATAGTATTATTAAAATCAGTCAGGAATTATTTATTTAAGGCTTTCATATAGAAAGTGTCATCTAAGGGTTCAATATAATGAATGAATGAGTGATTGGGTGAATAAACAGAGAATTCACTGTGACTCTTTTTTATTCTGGCTAGGGAAAATAGATATTTCTATCTTCACTATAACCATGCAATTCTTCTCGCTCTCTAGCTTATTAGCTTATATGCTAATTAGGACACTTTGATTTACCTGGAAAATCATCTTTGGGTAGCATTTCTGTGTCATGACGTGTGTGTAGTGACAGCATGGATAGCCTTTCTATTATAGCCATGACCTGAGTATGCGGTGATCTGCCAGATGCTCTATTACACCACACACCTGTCTTTTTCTTTAGGTTGGGTCCACATGACTCCGTCCTACGTAATCAAACCTAGAGTTTCTGGAAATAGGTATTTTTGTAATATGTAGGCATAGAGATAGCCCTAATTTCAAAGTAAACTGCAAGCTGACATCAGATTGGTCATCTTGAAAGGGCAAGTGAACATGTGCTCTGCTCTTAAAACCCAATTATCATGACTAGGATTCTGCTTTACCTGGAATCAAAACGGCCCCCTTACAGAATTTCATGATAACTCATCATCCCCTCACCACCTCCCATCATCATCTCCCAACCACATACCCGTCCTAGGTTTTGTTGGTTCCTGCCCTTCAGAATTCATTCACAAGCATTCCTCTCCAAAGTGAGGCCAGTAGGACAAGACTTCCTACTCTATCTCACCAACTTTTCTCATGTTACCAAAAAAAGCTATTGTTAATGCTTTTACATCAGGGTGGAGTGGTGGTAACTGAGGAAAGATGTCATTTTTTTTCTTGAAAGAGCCATTCTGGACACTTCTGTATCTTATTAAAAGAGGCCTTCCTCTGTGAAGCAAAATAAATCACTTCGTCCATAGTCTCCATAGTACTTTGCTTACACATTTATCACTATTTAAATTTCCTGCAGGAACTGGGGTTGTGTCTTACTCAATGTTCTAACACATTGCCTCACACTCAAATCCTTGTTTGATGAATAGTTGTACAGCTAAAGAAAGTCACCTAACATGTTTAAAAAAAAAAATGGTGGTTGTTTCTTCTCTTTAGGTTTGACTTTGCCAGAAACAATAAATATCTGTGTCTTAAGATCACTGTGTTCATTTTGTTAAACTGTGACAACATATTAATTTAAGAATTCTATTCCCTGGCCAAGCTCACAAAAAAGCCATTTTGTTGACAGGCCACAGAGCAGGGATTTGGAGTAAGAAATACCTGGGTTCCCACCCAGCTCCACTATTTACCAGCTCTGTAAATTTGGAGGAGTTATTTCATCCTTTGGCTCTTCGCTTTCTTTGTCTTTAATATGGAAGTAAAAATGACATCAGTTGTCTAGGTATGTGGAGATGATATGAATAGACAACAGAGGTACAGGGGGCATAGTAAACACTAAAAGTAGCTGCTGGTATTTTATTTATTAATAGTACTGTCATTACTGAAGTCTCAAAATTATTAAATAATTTCAAAAATAAGTTTCAAAGACTAGAAGCACTTGAGAACTATTGGAGACATACACACACAAACACACGCACAGTCATTTCTGCCTTGCTAATGTAAAACTGGTACCATAGAGCTGAATCCTAATATTACACATCAAGAACCAAAACTTAATCGACATGTAAAATTCCCTGACAGAATTAATAATTATGATCAAGAAACCATGAACGACCAATTTTAATGATCGGATAAGAAATGTATTTCTAGCCACCTGCTATGAGAAGCTAATCTTCCCCCACATCCTAATCTACTGACACACAGACTCTGGACTAAAAGAAGCTCTTAATAATGAATAATCCAGCTACAGATATAATTCTTCTGAGCAGAAAATGGAGGATTATAGAACATTTTGGAAAGAATTTTTTTTCTTTTCCCCACTTCCCTTCCCATTCAGATAATTTTCTTTAAATATCGTTTCGATTGTTGCTGCCACCTTAAGGATGTAAAAGGTTGTGCACACGAGTGTAGAAAAAATATTCAATATTGCCCCAAAGAAAATGTACAGGGAAAGGTGTTAGAATATAACAGAAGCACACAAGACTGGCTGATATTTATACTAAAAAATCTGAAAGAAAACCATCTGCTAATGCAGAATTCATTCATTCTAAAGTCTTAGGATAAGGTAATAAAAATACAACATGTATTTATAATTTTCACAAATGAACATCCTCTCTCTGTCTCTCTCTCTCTCTCTCTCTCTCTCTCTCTCTCTCTCTCTCTTTCACACACACACTGCACCCTTTACACCATGATCAGTCATGAGTGTTTTAATACTTCTCAGTATTCCACATGAGAATGCAAAGAATAAAAGCACAGCCTTTCTTGGATTACTAAGGGTTGTCTCAGGTACATTAGGCAGCTCAATCAGTAACTTTGAGACAAAATCCCAGAAATTATGGTCATGAGCTCATGGTGATGCTCGTGAACTAATTAACCTGCTATTCTTCTGATGTGGGACTTCACGGGTTGTATCAGACAGTAGCTGAAAATAACTCAAAGAAAGCAAGACGGGACCCTGGAACTTGAAAAATACAGTCATAATATGAGCCAAAGTTTGATGGAAGAGAAGGGAGAAGAAGCTGGAAAGTTGGGAGGGTCAAAGATATGAAGAATTACCTGCTCCATTCTACAGAGTTTAACAGGTTCTACAGAGGTTAGCAGGCAAGGAGATATTGTAAAAAGAGGAAAAAAGAAAAAGCAATGAAAAGAAGGAAAAAAAGGAAAGGAAAGAAATGGCATAAAGTAATTTATTTATGCCTTCACTTATCAAATATTATTAAGCACCTACTATGTGCCAGGCAACATGCTAGATAAAAGGAGACAGTCCCTCATTTAAAGAAGCTCAAAATCTCATAAGAAAGATAGCCAAGCAAGAAGGGAATTTTTACCAGCCAGAGTCTAAGGAAGTTCCCCGTGTCTCACCCTGGTTCTTTATCCTCCTGGTTAAAGTCTCCGATTGGAAAGGACTCTGATTTGGGTTTTGGAAAGATCTGGGTTTAAAACCTTCTCTCCATCCTTACCTCTTCATCTTGGCCAAGTCTCTCAACTTGTCTGAGCTGTAGTTTTAGTTTCTGTAAAATCGGAATTTGAAAAGCTACTTAGTAGCATTGTCCTGAAGATTGGTCATAATAGAGAAGCAGCTGGCAGACTTCTGGAATAAGTTCACTGGTGCTCACTGCCCTCATGTGCCCGTGTCCTGAGTAGCCTATGGGTAGGCCCCATCCCTATAGCCAACATCCTCACAAGCAGAACTCTGGAACCCACCATCCCACCAGACAGAGAATGCTAGATCAGAGTCAGAAGAGCGTTAGGACCAACCCATCAGGTCTTGCACCCTGTTTACCTCAATCCCTCCCAAAAGCATAAACCCCTAGGATCACTTATTATATATTACCAGGCTTTCTTCCCCTTTCCTCTTCTGTACATTCCCTAACTTGGCTCAACCTTCCACCCACTCCTCCCTTTCACACACACTGTGCCCTCTGGAACAGCCCATCTACAATCAGCAAACGTCCTTACACCTACAAACTCTACCAGCACCTTGCTCCCTTCATCTCCTTGCTTGACTTTGCCTATAATATTTGCTTGCCTTTCATCCCTTTGTTTTTTTTTTTTTTTCTTATCCTTCTCTCTTTTCTGGGGTTAGAAAGGGGTGTGTCTTCTTTTTCCCACAGCTTCTAACAGATCATTTCTCCTGGCTTCTTCTCTATCTTACAAGTTTCTTTGCTGCTTTCAAGCATCTCATTCAGCTATTTGACTCTCTTCTGTTCCAATCTTCCTGAAGTTATCTGCTGACTCTCTCTGTTGTTGAGATATTTTCCTGCTTACACTCTCTCTCTCTGTAAACAACCCCAATGACTTCAACAGGTGTGTGGAGGGTCCACCCAACATTCACCCCTCAATCCCTCCCTTTCTTGTCAGCAGGGGGTCTTTCTTACATTCTCGCAGGACCCCATCCCACTGCCATAACTGGCCTTTCATCATCAGAAACTGCTCAGCCTCGTATAATTTCAGACATACCTCTTATTGGCCTCAAGTTCCTATTCTTTTCAGTTCACTTGCTCAAATGCCCACAGTGCACAGTTCTGCAATCTGATTGATCCTGGTGCATTCTCAAAATCAATCAGCAACTTTCTGTTTCCATTTCCTTTGTTATCCAACTTTAAATATAGGCTTTATCATTAAAATCATTCATTGCAAGGACTCTTTCAATGTCAGCTTTCCCCTTTCAAAAGTCAGCTCTCGGAAGCAGTCAGAGAGGTTGTGAGCCTTTCTGCTCCCAACCCAACTGCTCTGACTATTTCTGAGAGCACACATCTGGACTGATAGGTTACGCCACATAAAAAGTGGATTCTGTTTCTCGAGTAAGCTCCCTTTCCCATTCTGTGACATGACCGCTTTTTCTCATTATCACCTCTCTGCCTTCCAGCTGAAATCCCAGCTTCTTTTCTTGTTTTCTTCCAGTCTTTTCTCACACTTCACTAGAGAGATCTTTTAAAAATATAAACCAAATAAAATCGTCCTCTTGTTTAAAATACTTCATTGACAACGTTCCGTTATACTTGGGATAAAATCCAAACTCATTACTTCTACCTCCCCTCTACCTCTTTCTCCTCATACTTCACAACTCTCTTACTCAGCTCCCATTACTCTACCCCCCTTTCAGTTCCTCAAACACACCAAGTTCTTTGCACTGGGTCTCTGCATACGCTGTTCAACCTGCCTGGAGGGCTCCTCCCTGGGGATTTGCAGGGCGACTTACTCTCCCCCTGCAAGACTAACTCACAGGCCACCATCTCAGGGATATTTCTAGGCCATCCTCTCTGATGTTGCTGCCCCATCCACTACTATTCTCACTCCTAGCAATACGATCTCTTTATAGAACTTATCCCCCTCAGCCAAGCACCATATATTTCTTTGTTAACATGTAGTTTTTCAGTGTCCCTCTCCTCTCTGTAAGCTCCATGACGGCAGGGCCACACAGTCTTATTATAACTGGCAGATAGCAGTTACTTAATACATATTTACTGAGTAAATGAATAAGTGAATGAACGCTGGATGAGTCAGAAGAGTAATTCAAAGAGAAACTAAATCAGTTTCACAAAAATGATTTGATGGTTGAAAACAAAGTTTGTTTCCATCTTTTAGAAAGAGACAGTACATAAATATGCACTTAGTGCTTCATAAATGTTTCCAATGAAGAACCCAGAGTGGGTGTAAATCTATACACCTGAGAGGTCATGCCTATAGACAGCTAGATTTTATGCTTTTCATAACAATTCTGCAAATGATATTTTCAATTATCCATGTGCAAAACTGCTGACCACAGCCATATTGTGGCTTAGAGATCTCTCTTGCACACTGCAGTAAACTCCAGCTTGAGTGGCACAGATAAGCATGAATTGTACATGCTCACACCTCTTTTTCAAGGAATTTAACTCAGTTTTGTCTGAATCAGTTTCCAATAGATAATAAGTGCCCTGCCCATATTCTCTCTTTGAAAATTCCCTCAAAAAAAGTTACATGGCACATAGGATAGTGCAAAAATATTCTATTTATTTTGTATGATTTTTTTCTTAAAGATAAGTTTCAAATCTGCTTAAGTTTCAGATCCTTTGAAACCTGAATCCACTATACTCACCTGTCACCTTAAGAAACTGAGGTATGGAGAAGCAGCCGAAGGTAACAGAATTGAAAGTGGAGCCAAGATTTAAACTAAGGAAGTTTGGATCCATTATGTTACATCATTTTTTGACTTGCTACAAAACTTGACTCCACTAAAACGACTGATACACATTTTAATGACTTTGAAGTGTTTACATACTTGTTTACCTGATGAGAATCTGAGCTCTTTGGGGCACAATGTATCCTTATTTGCATACCCAACAATTACTTCAATAAAACACAGTAAAATGCTCATTAAAAGTTTGAACAAGGATCCAAGATGGCCAAATAGGAATAGCTCCACAGTGCAGTTCCCTGCAAGAACAACACAGAGGGTGAGTGCCCACCGCATTTCCAAACAAGTTTTCACTGCCCACAGACCAGGAGATTCCCGGGCCAAAAAGTGCCACGTGTTTTCAGCACGGCGGTTTCAGTCGGTGCCGGGTTGGCTCACAGAAACACACACAAATCTGGGTGCCTGTTTCAACGGGCACCTGGAATACCTGGGAGACAGAGCCGCCCATGCAACTGAAAGGGAGGGAGCTGAGACAGGGAGCCAGGCAATCAGGCTTGGTGGGTACCACCCCCACAGAACAAGCAATCTGAAAGGCTCTGGGCTGAGAGCTTCACAGCCAGCGCAGCTGGACCCAGGACAGCCCAGCGCAGTGGGGGAAAGGGCTACCACCACTATCGAGGCAGTTCACACAGCAGCTGGGCAGAGCCTGCAGCAGCTCAGCAACACCTCTGCTGGCAGACTGTGACTAGACTACTCTTTGTGGGGCAGGGCATCTATGAAAAAAGACAGCAGCACCTCAGGAACTTATAAATAAAGCCGACCTTCCTAGGACAGAGCACCTGGGAAGAGAGGCGGTTATGAGTTCTACTGCAGTAGACTTAAAGGTACCTGCCCAGCAGCTCTGCACAGAACAATGGAGCTCCCAGCACAGCACTTGAGCTCCTATAAGGAACAGACAGTCTCCTCAAGCAACCCCCCAACCCCTGTATACCCAAAGAGACACCTCATAAAGGAGAGCTCAGGCTGACATCTGGCGGGTACCCTTCTGGAACAAAGATAACAAAAGAAAAAACCAGCAGCAACCTTTACTGTTCTGTAGCCCCTGTGGGTAAGCCCCAGACAAGCAGGGTCTGGAGTGGAACTCCAGCAGAAATGCAACAGAGGGGCCTGACTGTGAGAAGGAAAACTAAGAAACAGAAAGAAATAGCTTCAACATCAACAAAAACTACAAAGACCACAGGTAGATAAAGCCACTAAGATGGGAAGAAACCAGCACAAAAAGGATGAAAACACCAAAAACCAAAATGCCTCTCCTCCTCCAAGTGACCACAACTCCTCACCAGCTAGGAATCAAAGATGGATGGAGAATTAATCTGATGAATTGACGGAAACAGGCTTCAGAAGGTGGGTAATAACAAACTTCCCAGAGCTAAAAGAACATGTAGTAACCCAATGCAAAGAAACTAAAAACCTAGAAAAAAGGTTAGATGAGATGCTAACTAGAATAAACAGCTTAGAGAAGAATATAAACGACTTGATGGAGCTGAAAAACACAGCAGGAGAATTTCGCAAAGCATACACAAGTTTCAATGGTCTAATCGACCAAGCAGAAGAAAGGATATCAGAGATTGAAGATCAACTCAATGAAATAAAATGAGAAGGCAAGAACAGAGAAAAAAGTGAAAAGAAATGAATAAAGCCTCCAAGAAATATGGGATTATGTGAAAAGACCTAATCTACGTCTGATAGGTCTATCTGAATGTGAAGGAGAGAATGAATCCAAACTGGAAACACTCTTCAGGATATTATCCAGGAGAACTTCCCCAACCTAGCAAGCCAGGACACCATTCCAGTCCAGGAAATACAGAGAACACCACAAAGCTATCCCTCAAGAAGAGCGCAAGGCACATAATCATCAGATTCACCAAGGTTGAAATGAAGGAAAAAATGCTAAGGGCAGCCAGAGAGAAAGGTCAGTTTACCCACAAAGGGAAGCCCATCAGACTCACAGCAGATCTCTCAGCAGAAACCCTACAAGCCAGAAGAGAGTGGGGGCCAATATTCAAGATCCTTAAAGAAAAGAACTTTGAACCTAGAATTTCATATCCAGCCAAACTACGCTTCATAAACGAAGGAGAAAGAAAATCCTTTATGGACAAGCAGTTGCTGAGAGATTTCATCACCACCAGGCCTGCCTTACAAGAGCTCCTGAAGGAAGTCCCAAACAAGGAAAGGAACAACCAGTACCAGCCACTCCAAAAATGTACCAAAAGGTAAAGATCATCAACGCAATGAAGAAAATGCGTCAACTAACAGGCAAAACATCCAGCTAGCATCAAAATGGCAGGATCAAACTCGCACATAACAATAGTAACCTTAAATGTAAATGGGCAAAATGCCCCAATCAAAAGACACAGACTGGCAAATTGGATAAAAAGTTAAGACCCATCAATGTGCTGTATTCAGGAAACCCATCTCATGTTCAGGACACACATAGGCTCAAAATAAAGGAATGGAGGAAGATTTATCAAGCAAATGGAGAGCAAAAAAAAAAAAAGCAGAAGTTGTAAACCTAGTCTCCAATAAAATGGACTTTAAACCAACAAAGATCAAAAGAGACAAAGGGCATTACATAATGATAAAAGGATCAATGCATTAAGAAGAGCTAATGATCCTAAATCTATACACACCCAATACAGGAGCACCCAGATACATAAAGCAAGTTCTTAACAACCTACAAAGAGACTTAGACTCCCACCCAATAATAGTGGGAGACTTTAACACTCCACTCTCAATATCAGACAGATCAATGAGACAGAAAATTAACAAGGATATCCAGGACTTGAACTCAGATCTGGACCAACTGGACCTAATAGACATCTACAGAAATCTCCACCCCAAATCCACAGAATATAAATTCTTCTCAGCACTGCATTGCACCTACTCTAAAATTGACCACATAATTGGAAGTAAATCACTCCTCAGCAAATGCAAAAGAATGGAAATTATAACAAGCAGTCTCTCCGACCACAGGGCTATCAAATTAGAACTCAGAATTAAGAAACTAACTCAGAACTTCACAACTTCATGGAAACTGAACAACTGGCTCCTGAATGTCAACTGGATAAACAGTGAAATGAAGGCAGAAATAAAGATGTTCCTTGAAACCAAGGAGAACGAAGACACAACATACCATAATCTCTGGGACACATTTAAAGTAGTGTCTAGAGGGAAATTTATAGCAATAAATGCCCACATGAGAAGTGGAGAAACATCTAAAATCAACACTCTATCATTAAAATTGAAAGAGCTAGAGGAGCAAGATCAAAAAAACTCAAAAACTAGCAGAAGACAAGAAATAACTAAGATCAGAGCAAAACTGAAGGAGATAGAGACACAAAAAAATCAATTAATCCAGGAGCTGATTTTTTGAAAAGATCGACAAAATGGACCGCTAGCCAGATTAGCAAAAAAGAAAAGGAAGAAGAATCAAATAGATGCAATAAAAAATGATAAAGGGGATATCACCACTGATTCCACAGAAATACAAACTACAGTTAGAGATTACTACAAACAACTCTATGCACATAAACCAGTAAGCCTGGAAGAAATGGATAAATTCCTGGACACTTGCACCCTCCCAAGCCTAAACCAGGAAGAAGCACAAACCTTGAACAGACCAATAACAAGGGTGAAGTTGAGGCCACAACTAATAGCCTATCAATGAAAAAAAGTCCAGGTCAAGATGGGTTCAAAGCTGAATTCTACAAGATGTACAAAGAGGAGCTGGTACCATTCCTTCTGAAATTATTTCAAACAATCCAAAAAGAGGGACTCCTTCCCAGATCATTTTATGAGACCAACATCATCCTTATACCAAAATCCGGCAGAGACTCGACAAAAAAGAAAACTTCAGGCCAATATCTGTGATGAACACAGATGCAAAAATCTTCAATAAAATACTGACAGGCCAATTGCAACAGCACATCAAAAAGCTTATCCATCACAATCAAGTAGAATTCATGTAGCGATGCAAGGCTGGTTCAACATATGCAAGTCTATAAACATAATCCACCACATAAACAGAACCAAAGACAAAAACCACATGATTACCTCAATAGATGCAGAGAAGGCCTTCCACAAAATTCAACAGCCCTTTATGCTAAAAACTCTCAATAAACTAGGTATCAAAGGAACATGCCTCAAAACAATAAAAGCTATTTATGACAAACCTATAGCTAATATCGTAGTGAATGGGCAAAAACTGGAAGCATTCCCCTTGAAATCTGGCACTAGACAAGGATGCCCTCTCTCACCACTCCTATTCAACATAGTATTGGAAGTTCTAATCAGAGAAATTAGGCAAGAAAAAGAAATAAAGGGTATTCAGTTAGGAAAAGAGGAAGTCAAACTGTCTCTATTTGTAGACGACATGATTGTATATTTAGAAGACCCCATCATCTCAGCCCAAAATCTCCTTAAACTGATAAGCAACTTCAGCAGACTCTCAGGATACAAAATCAATGTGCAGAAATCACAAGCATTCCTATACACCAACAACAGACAAACAGAGAGCCAAATCATGATCTAACTCCCATTCACAATTGCTACAAAGAGAATAAAATATCTAGGAATACAACTAACAAAGGATGTAAAGGACCTTTTCAAGGAGAACTACAAACCACTGCTCAAGGAAATAAGAGAGGACACAAACAGATGGAGAAACATTTCATACTCATGGTTAAGAAGAATTAATGTTGTGAAAATGGCCATACTGCCCAAAGTAATTTGTAGATTCAACGCTAACCCCATCAAGCTACCAATGACCTTCACAGAACTGGAAAAAAACGCCTTAAACTTCATATGGAACCAAAATAGAGCCTGCATAGCGAAGACAATGCTAAGCAAAAAGAACAAAGCCAGAGTCATCATGCTACCTGATTTCAAACTATACTACAAGGCTACAGTAATCAAAACAGCATGGTTCTGGTACCAAAACAGAGATATAGACCAATGGAACAGAACAGAGGCCTTGGAGGCAACGCCACATATCTATAACCATCTGATTGTTGACAAACCTGACAAAAACAAGCAATGGGGAAAGGATTCCCTGTTTAATAAATGTTTGTTGGGGAAACTGGCTAGCAGTGTGCAGAAGCAGAAGCTGGACCCCTTCCTGACACCTAACACTAAAATTAACTCCAGATGGATTAAAGACTTAAACATAAGACCTAACACCATAAAAACCCTAGAAGAAAACATAGGCGAAACCATGCAGGACATAGGCATAGGCAAGGGCCTCATGACTAAAACACCAAAAGCATTGACAACAAAAGCCAAAATAGACAAACGGGACCTAATTCAACCCCAGAGCTTCTGCACAGCAAAAAAAACAATCATTAGAATGAACCGGCAACCAACAGAATAGGAAAAAATTTTTGCAACCTACCCATCTGACAAAGGCTATATCCAGAATCTACAAAGAACTAAAAAAGATTTACCAAAAAAAAAAAAAAAAAAATCCAAAAGTAAGCAAAGGATATGAACAGACCCTTTTTGAAAGAAGCATGTGAGGCCAACAAACATAGGAAAAAATGCTCATCAGCACTGATTATTAGAGAAATGCAAATCAAAATCACATTGAGATACCATCACATGCCAGTTAGAATGGCAAACATTAAAAAATCTGGAGACAACAGATGCTGGAGAGGATGTGGAGAAATAGGAACACTTTTACACTGTTGGTGGGAGTGTAGATTAGTTCAACCATGGTGGAAGACAGTGTGGCACTTCATCAAGGACCTAGAAATAGAAATTCCATTTGACCCAGCAATCCCATCACTGGGTATATACCCAAAGGATTATAAATTGTTCTATCATAAAGATACATGCACACGTATGTTTATTGTGGCACTGTTTACAATAGCAAAGACCTGGAACCAACCCAAATGCTCAACCCAAATGATGATAGACTGGACAAGGAAAATGTGGCAAATATACACCATCGAATGCTATTCAGCCATAAAAAATGATGAGTTCGTGTCCTTTGTAGGGACATAGATGAATCTTGAAACCATCATTCTCAGCAAACTGACACAAGAACAAAAAATCAAACACTACATGTTCTCACTCATAGGCGGGTGTTGAACAATGAGAACACATGGACATAGGGAGGGGAGTATCACACACAGAGGTCTGCTGAGGGACCAAGGGAGGGACAGTGGGGGGGTGGGGAGGTCTGGGGGGATAACATGGAGAGAAATGCCAGATGAAGGTGACAGGGGGAAGGCAGCAAACCACGCTGCCAAGTGTGTATCTATGCAACAATCCTGCATGATCTGCACATATACCCTAGAACCTAAAGTACAATTAAAAAAAAAAAAAGGAAAAAAAGTTTGATGAAAAGATTAATGCATAAATGAATGAAAGAGTGAAACCTTTTCATTCCCACTGTTCAGGTGACACACTCTGATTCAGCAGAAGAACAAACAGGAGCTGACAGTCTGGAGAAAGCCACACTAAGGTCTTTGGATCCATGATTCCCAGTCCTCAGGTTGAGAAATCAAGACACCAATGCTGGAACCATAGTGTACAACAGCATCTATAAATAAATGAGTGCATAAGGCCCCTTTGGTGAAGGTAGCCAAATTTATTAAAAATCAGAGAGGTTTCTTATATATGGAACAAGTTGATAACCACTGCTTTCCACTAAAATTCAACGTTTTTCTGCTATCACTCTGAACTAGGGAGTCAGAGTGAGATAAAGTAGTTGCAGCCCCGGGAAAGGGATCAGCATAAATGGTTGAGAAAAAACACTGTGTGAAGCAAGGTAGACAGCCTGGGACCGGGGAGAACACTCTGGGTCCTTGGAGAAGAGAAATTCAGACTCAAGTTAACAAAAGGAAGCATAAACACAGCAGAGGCCAGTACACAAAAAGTGACAGAATATGTGATAATATCTAGAAACACCTTTTAAAACAGTTAAATTGCTATCAAACGTTGTATACCGCTCTCCACCTTTGCTGTTGCTAGAAGTACCTGTGATGTGCAGGAGGAATGCAGCAGCACAATTCCCTTGACAAACAGCCGCAACTCACAGGACCTTCCTTCTGGACTCACAGGAAGGCACATGAAACCTGAAGCTTGAATCAGTCAAACAGGGCAGGGGAACCAAGTTTAACAGCCCAGCAAGGAAGACCCAGACAAGAGGATACCAGGCTTCTGGTACCCAGGGCTCCAGACTGTCTGACGATCTTTCCTGCATCAACTAGCATTAAAGCCAATCAGTGTGGAAAACTGTCAGCCCTGCATGACATTTTAGTTTTATTCCCTAATGCCTTTTTTTGTGCTTATGTGAGGAAAATAGATAGAAATATGGTTTCTTTTTTATTTGGAGTTTGATGGATTCTCCAAGTAATGAAAAAGCCTGGCCTCCTGGGGCAAAGATACTCAGTCAGTGAGCAGAAAAAATATTGCTCAGAGAAAAATGAATTGAGAGCTCCATGAGAAAGGACCTACTACTGAAGACAATTTTGTTCCTAGAATGACATTAAACCCAGAGGATAAAGCCCCAGCGGAGCTGTGGGCCGCCGGCCCTGTGAAGGAGACAGAGACAGTCATTTAAGTTATGTGAGCAGAATTCCCAAGCCTGTGAGGGTTCTTCCTGCAACCACGCTTAGGCCAGGTGATATGGGTTGAATTGCAACCCCATCCCCAACAAAAGGGCATGTTAAGTTTCCAGAGCTCCGTGCTCCAGAACGTGACCTTATTTGGAAATAAGGATCATTGCAGATGTTACTATTACTATGAGGTTATGCTAGAGTAAAGTGGGTCCCTAATTCACTATGACTGGTACCCTTATAAGGAGATGGCCTTAGGAAGACACAGAGACACACAGGAAGAATGCCATGTGATGACAAAGGTAGAGATAAGAGTTATGTGTCTGTACATCAAGGAACTTTGCAGATTGCCAGTGAACCACCAGAAGGTAGGAGAAGGTAAGGCAGTATTCCCCTGTAAGTTTCAGATGGAGCATAGCCCTGAGAACATGTTAATTTCAACTTCCTTTCTAGCCTCCAGGGTAATGAGACAATAAATGTCTATTGTTTTAAGCCACCCAGTTAGTGTCACTTCATTATGGCAGCCCTGGCAAACTAATAGGGTAAGATAAGGCGAGTCTAAGTGGCCTGGACCAAGGAGAGGGGTTAGGAGGGGAATGTCTGGCTGGAGAAATGGTGTATACTCACTCTGGATTAGGAGGATGGAATAATTATTATAGTTATGCATGTATGTAACATAAATTCTATTTCTTTAGGAAAGGAGGCTAAAGCAAATCACAGCAAGTCCCAGGCCTTTTTCTATCAATCAAATTGCTCATATAACTTCATCGCAACAATCAGTTTCAAAGAATTCAGTGTTAAATAAAAGAACAACGAAATTTTCCCAAGTGCAATTTTCATTTTTTTTGTGTGTTTGCAAAGCAGGTTAGTATCTTAGGATCACGACTCTGAATAAGAATTATCAAATAGTACGTTGTCAGTGACCTAATAGCACACTAATAGTTATGGGCTTTAGATTTAAAGACCCAGGTTCAAATCCTGACTAAACATGCCAATGACCAGTATGTCACTTTAGGCAAGTTATAAACTCCCTATGTCTGTTATCTAAAGTTAGAATAATTATATGTGATCAACTGTCATTTATTCTTGTTCACGCATCTGCGGATCACCCAGGGGTTGACTGGTCTAGGCCAAGTTGGGCAAGGCTCAGCTTCAAGCTGCATGTAGGTGAGGTTCATATTATCTTCATGTGTCTCATATCCTCTTTGGACCAGCAGACTAGTCAGAATGTCAGAAATACAGATGCACCAGA